AGCATATCAGCGCATACTGTGCTGATCCCCAAAAAACAAGATTAAGACTTTGTTGTGCTGAAACACGATCGCAACTGTTTCGAACGTGTAACGTGCAGAATTTCAAAACATTGTATTCAGTTTGTTTAGACAAGAAATTCAATTCCCTCTCTTTGAATCTTACAGGCCCAGGCACTCACAGAGCCGGAAGTTTCAGACACCCTCAAGGCGTTACAAATATGGAAGTGAGCTAAGGACTTAGAGACAGCTGACAAGATTTTCACCGTCACTCGGCCACAAACGTTTTGTTTATAGTTTTGCCAATAGTTTTACCCTCATTGTTAATTATATATTATATAAATTGGGCGGATTTCTATTTTATCTTATACATGGCACAAAGCAGGGTTTTGGCGATCTTGTTTAAACAGCAACTTCAAATTTCAATCAACTGCGAGTCTTCAATGAGGCCAAATCAGCATGACACGGAAAAGGGTAATGGTACATGGTAAAGGAGAAGAGTGAACATCTCAACTGACATGAAGAATGGCTAAGCCAAGACGGTTAAGAAGGAGGAATAAAAATGGACAATAATAAACTGAATCTTGTGCATGATTGATGCGCAAGTCAACCAGGAACGCATTAGCAGCGACTGAAATATGATCTTGAAACGCACATCCCTAAGAAAGAACTCTGTACAAATGTTGCTGTGCCAGAGTGAGTTGATGACATTTACAGCGGGCGATCTACTCAAAATCCTAAAGTCTCTTTGTGTTCATCACATAACCAGGAGAGGGTAATTTTGGTCCTTCGGGGGAGTAGGTTAAAAAGGCGTAAAACTCCTCCAATGTCAGACAAATGGAGAGGGTGCAGTGCGCCTGAAATGTGAATTGTACCAATTTTGCATACTACACGGTAGGACACAAACGAGAAGATAATGCATAAAATGTTGTTTAATTAGGGACATCCGACGTTTCGGACCAAGCTCGGTCAGTCTTCAGAGTACAATGAAGGCTCTGTACTGTATAGACTTGTACCTGTACTCTGAAGACGGACCGAGTTCGGTCCGAAACGTCAGATGTCCCTAATTAAAGACTATTTTATGCGTTGTTTTCCTGTGTGTGACTTACCTATGGATTGCATAAAGAAATCATGTACGATTTTCACTACAGGATAAAACAATATTTTGATGGTTATGCGGTAGCATATAAAGAGAACTAGCTTTTGAAACATCATGATGAGCGCGAGGTGGCTCTAGCAGACAAAATGACGTGAAATGCACCTGATGCTTCAGGTGTTAAAAAACCGTGGAGTCGTAGACTGTTTAAATAGCCACATAGACAACTAGGAACAACAAGGGCGATGTCATTCGACGTAAAATCTTGTCTTGGAGGAGTTTGCCCCAAGATACGGCACTACGGTACTTAATATGTACTCAATCCTTCATCCAGCTGTTCCTTGTTACGGGCGAACTACGAAGCCGTCAATGCTCCTTCCATCTTTGCTCTGTTCAAGAACGTTTTTATGTCAAGTTGTCCTATGGCGATTCATTCAAATAATCAATCATAGCGAAATATTGTAGATGCCTCCAAATCTTTATCCAGCCCAACGGATTCAAAAATGAAGCCTTTTGTGAGGTTTTGTCGCGAATAGATATAACTGATGAGTGGGAGGCAATTACCACCTCAGTATACAGGAGCTGGCTCCTGCATCATTTTCAGGCATTTACTTCAGCAAGAGTACAGGATATGTGTTGTACAGCTCAAATTATATTCACAATCACAGAATGATCATGCGTGGCTTGTACTTCCGAGGAAAGCACTGCCTTATGTAATGCGAATGGTTCTAGAGCTGCGCGCATCACAATGAGGAAACGAATTTCGTACCTCGCTTTGAGACGTAATCGCTGCAGCAGGAATCTTGCACTGTAGCGGGAAATTTAGGGCGCGTTGATCTGAATCGTGTCAGAAATTATGATACATGCCTAAGCAGTAACAAACAATGAGCATGAAAGCCAAATAAGCGCACGATGAGGTACCGAGGTGTTAACGAGACGTGGTAATTTATCCGTTCAGAAGTATCGCCTATCTCATAATTAGTCATTGGCCACAAGTCGAGTAGCACGTGACTGAAATTCGAGTAGACTGTGCTATGAAGCGTGTGCTTAATGGCCCTGAAGAACAAAACCACAGAGCTCGAGTCGCTGCAGCCGCTCTGTTGTAACACCGATGACGTGTACGTAAAAGCAATTATAAACTTGAAAGCGAAGACGCCAGTTTGCCATGGTTGTGCCGCATCGATCTTTCTGACCGTCCAACGGCTGCCGTCCAGCGGATCGATTACTGCCGTCAGGGGCAGTGGCGTCCGTCCGAGCAACGTCTAGTGGTCTAGTTGGGCAGAAACGCTTTGGTGCTCAGCGAACGTGGTCAATTCAGCATCAATGAATGCCACTGCTTATTCGTATTCCTCAACCTTCTGTGCATTGCGATGTTTCTCTCTGCTCGCATGACCAAACGTACGGTGCTCAACAGCTGCCGCCACTCGGCTCGACTTGGCCATCGACTGCCGTCGGATTAACGACCGCTCTCGTCCATCAACGCCGGTGAGTAGTGCCGAATGTTCGTTTTCTATGCAGCGTCCATCACGCTGAATTCACCGGTTCCGTAGCAACAGTTACTGTTTCTTTGTAAAGAAGGAGGTTTGGGCACCTCACATCAGACAAGGCAAGAGGTGAAGATCACAAATGGCAAAAGAAACACGCATTATACGTAGTCTAGCTAGTTTGCTGATTCATGGTTGAGGGTACCTAAGAAAATCACTGCTAACATTATAAGGTAAATGCACTTCACTACCCATCCAAGATGGACTAGACTGAAGGTGAGTTGTGTAATCTTCTCGAAACGCGTGGGCAATAAAGTGTTGACATCGATTTTGTTTTGTGCTCTCAACCATAATTTAACAAATTGAAAATGATTTAAACAATTGACCAGAATCGAAAACCTTACCGTATGTTGCGCATTATAGAGTTTTTGCAGTTTGTGAAGACGATGACTAATAATCATACAGATTAAACGATTAAAAATAGGATAGAATTAACATATGTTGACGCAGACAGTCTGTCTGATAGCGAGCTCGGTCAGCGAATGCGAAATTATTACGATGTAGGAAAAAACTGCGATCGTTAGTAGGCGCGATGAGAGGACAGTTGACGAATTACCCAAGAGGGCAGAACTCAGTTCCAGGCAGATAAAGGCACAATAATAAGGAAATGCTGGTCATTGCTGACCGATGACGCTTCACGATTACCCCGAAACTTTGAAGCTACTAACTTAAAGTGACCGACGACGCTTCACGAGAAAATTCAAGGAATTGGTGCGTTATATTTGATGCTGTAAATAATGCAGGACTCCCTCCAAGACCAAATATCAAGGCGAATTGCACAGCGTCCTTACTCTAATTTTCCTTTGAGGGGGGGGGGAGTATTTGAGCACCTTCAGTGCCAGATGCATCTCGCCATATTTTGTCAGATAGAAAAAAACCCTCATCATGAATGACGACTCAGGGGCTGGTACTTCTTATGTGTTGCTGCATAAACAAAATTTGTTGTTCATGCGCCGAAGTACCTCAGATGACGCCTGATTCCTTCAAAACTAGATTCAACCCGGTCTAATCCTGTAAATGACATCCTCATTTAGTACATTTAATGGCATGTACTAAATGCACTTGTTTCTACGCATTTGACATACGTCTGCCTGATGCTAAATAAACGGTATTTCTGATACTTTCTTTGGGAAATTAAAAAATGCTGGGAAACTACTTTGCGGTCAAATTATTACTATCTGAGAAGACGTTGCTTCAAAGGCGTTGAACGACCTGATAGTTCGCGGTTACCGCTGCATTGTTTGATTACTCTTACGTGCTGATGATTGACATAGAACTCACTTCACTGGCAATGCCTCCTGACGAATGATTCAGTATTTCGCCACTGTCCATGATGTGAATGGCTGTTTTTCGTACCGGCGAAATTTTATTAAACAAAAACGAACTGAAAGCGATAAATCACTGGTATTCAATTGAATTAGAAACTGCATAGCTGATTTGCTGATTCAAAAATACAATCGCCATTTATAAATACTGAACGACGATAAACTCTTATGGCCACAACTGATTTATATGCTGCTTATGACCGTTCATTTATGAAGAAGCCCGTTTTGCCGCTGACCGTCTGTTTACTTAAGTCCGGTGAATTTGGATCGATTTGTGGCAGCATAATTAATGGTACCTCAGTTGGTGTGAGGAACTTCGATTAGTTCAACAATGCCAGGATTGTAGTATCACTCTGTTTCTATACATTATTAACTTCTATATGCCAGCCACTGCGAAGAATGACGTCGTCTTGCGCTCTTGATAAAGCTTATGAAACATGCTGCCTAATGGCTGGTTAAATCAACTGCCACAGAATGAATAAGCCTCTTATGACTTTAAATCTGTAAATTAAACATACATAATAATATATCTATAGAGCATTCAATGATATAATCAGTCTTCAAGTATAAGGAACAGAAACTGACAAAAACTCTGGTTCAAGTCGACGTTTAGGATGGCACAACAGCCTTCATATTGATGGACAAAATGAGCTGTGATTCTGCCCGAAAAGTAGCTTGAAACAGATTTTTGAAAAATGTGCAGTATATAATGATCTACAATCCTTGCATCAAACGACTTTCTTTCTTAAAATCTTCTCATTTCAAATATTGGCAATAAGCAGCATCAATGTCAAAGGATATTCAACAATACAGTGATGATGCTCGCTCTAATGCATGCCAAGGAAGAATAACAGTCTTATTGGATTAGACACTGGTCAATCTGATATGGATCTACTTTTTCACTTCTTTTTTTCCCCTATTCATTTTTTTCATTTGTTATATCCAGGTTTTACCAACTCATCGTGTAAATCAAGGTTCAGTTAAGCAAATTTGCCTGAACTTACTGATCAATCGACTGATTTACTGAACAACTAACCGACTTGCTGACTGACTGATTGGCTGTCTGACTGAAAAGTGGTTGTAAAGGCATGATGCGCCATTTAATGCACTCTGACACTGATGAAGTTTTGTTCAAATTATTAATTAAAGTAAAACAAATTCTGCGTTGAAGCATTTGTAGCACTGTCTATAGGTCGTTGTTGATTGAATCACGAGAATAAACAAGGTCTCATCGACGGTGTTACTTCAAATGAGGAGGTTGCAATCAAGCAGCACGAAACCAATTGTTGATTCTTGGGCAATTGTCAGTGACTCTCTGAGGTTGTTTGAAAAGAACCAATTTTTTGTCAAATCACGGATTCTTCCTCACGCAATAAACTTCTCGTAAAGTCTATCGACCGCGGTATAAACTTAACGAAGTACTAACTAAATTCTCCTTTGGTCCTGAACCAAAAAAATGTATTGCACTTTACGTCCTTAACGCAGCTACTAATTATGCCAGAACACAAAAATTGCCTGACGGTTAATTCGTCGAAACTCATATTGACACGGTGACCTTTTGTTCTTCAAAATTAGCTGTTATTAGTTCAACGATTACAATCTAAACTGGAGATCGATGTTTGGACCTCAGTCTTACTTATTGCAAGCACTTCGGTAAAAGACCATCAACCGTCATCAGGACAAACAGTGGTATTAGGTCAACGCTTCGGCATTGAAATAAACACCCAAACATGGAGTTGGAAGTGGAATCCTGCTTGTGGCCCTTTGACCGTCGACTCATAGCCACTCATCCTGCTCATTTGTTCTGCAAGGTTGTCGAATCGTTGTGGTCATCATGGCACTGCAAGTTGGACAGACACTACAGCCCTGCCATCTATGTCAGGAAAGAGGTGCCGCGGCGTAGCTGTTTCCACGCGCACTACCAGTCCTACGTAGGTGTACTCAGCCCACGAATAAACAAACAGTGACCTCGAACTAGCCCATGCCAAAACAAGTTTCCACTTCCTTCTTGTTCTTCTAGAACATATCTTTTAGTCGCTCATCAGCAAGGCAATGTGGATAGAAATGTACTTTGCTAATAGTTGTAGATAGCAGTGGGAAAAGTGTCACAGGTATTACTGTGAAGCAGATTCAATAATATAATATAATTGTTACGCAATCAGTAACATCTGCTCGTTCAACGCGGTGTCAATGTGGCCACAACCTCATGCTTGAATAATTTCCGGTTTTGCTTCCGGAAATTCAGAAGGAGTAAATGACGGCGATGTCTATCGGTTTAAGAGAATCATGCCTGTAGTACTGTTTGAAGTTTTCATTTAATCAGTTTCTACCAGCCGTTATCTTCTTCTTGCCAAAGATTGGATGTTATGACGGAGAGATATTACCTGGACTAATTTATAACTGATATCATATATTAGTGAATCTGGCAATTAGCTGTCAACAGCTATACGGTTAAAATGTTCATTTTCAACTACAAGGAAATCGATTTATCCTAGACTATTCGCACCCACGCCTAATATGTGTTACTTCAAAGAAACTATTCAAATCCAGGGCGATCTTTGTCTTAATCGAGAATTTCCTTCAGTAGGAAATTTGCTTCATGTTTCTTCAGGGCAGCCGGTCAG